GCCAGGCGAGCGCGCTACCGCTTGAGCCACATCCCCAGCCCATGTGTTCAGTCTTGCATTAAAGAACAAGTGATATGGTTTTTAATGGTTTAATGGTTGTAATTGGCACAACTATGAACAGTAATAAGTTGCTGAAAATAATGAATTTAAGAAGTTTATTTCTTTAGTGCATTGCGTACTTGGGGCTTATTTAATATACAACTATCTCAGACCATGTTTTGCCTTTACCATTTCAGGAGCAGTGGAAGGGGCATGGAAGAATCCTTTTTCAAGCTGGTTTACTGCAATGCTCCACTGCTTTGGTGGAGGAATTTTATCATGTATACTTCTTGCAGAGCCTCCACTGAGGTTTTTGGCAAATCACACTAATGTTTTACTGGCATCTTCAATCTGGTAAGCTATCATTATGGTAAACTATGAGACATTCTAAAAATTGTTTTGTAAATTGCTAGTAAAATGAATTTTTTTTTCTTTAAAAAGTATTTTATCTTCTTGGAAAGTTAAATCCCAGCCCCTCCCCTTATTTTTTCCTAGAGGCAGTTATTACCATCATAGTCTTATGCATTTAGCTTTTCAGACATGAAAGAGGATTAAATATTTGGCCCCAAACAGTTTCCTCTTATGAGCTCAACTTATACATCCAGAATTACCACACACAGAATTAGAATACAATAAAAGTCAATAAATGTCATGAATGTAACCAAACAAAAAAGATTCAAATGACTCAATATATAATTGTCCTTTGTCCTACTTTTTGTTGGGTTATTTAGAACCTTATGAGATCTTTAAACATTAATTTTTTTAGTTATGAAATGAAGAAAAATGTTGCTAGGAATTGCTTTGGCTTCTTATAACTCCAAATTCAGGTATGCTTTAGAGAATTGATCCATTAAGTTAAAAAATAGATATACTACAAATCAGTGAACTTTGTTCTGTTGAAAGCCAAAACTGTGCTTCTATTAAAAACCACATCAGGTTAAATATATAAGATGTTAGGAACACATAAGATTTCATTTTTATTATGATAATTTGTAAATGATTGTTTTACTAGTTCTGAAGGGGATATTATAAATAATAGTARCAATAATAAAAAGTAAAATGAGGGAACTTGTGGCAGGAGAAACTTGAAAGAGCATAATAATACACTTGATAACTTTATATACTGAACTGTTACTATATGTCAGTTAAATTCTTTATATTCCTTTTCATATTATATTATAGGAGTCCTCTGAGTTAGTTTTTATTCTTATTCCTATTTGACAACTGAGAAAACTGAAATAAAGAAATGTTGCTATAACTTTCATATCTAATAAGTGACTGAGTTAGAATCAAATTAAAAAATTTGATTTCAGAACCTTCAAACTTGATAGGCCCCCATTCCCTGTCTTTCTCTTTCTGTTTCCCTCTCTCTCTCTCTCTCTCTCTCTCTCTCTCTCTCTCTGTCTCTTTTTGGTGATGCTGTGATGGGACCAAGACGTCACTCATGCTAGGCAGGCTCTCTGCTGCTGAACTACATCCCCAGTCCTCTCATAAATTTGTTAACAATCTCCTAAATATAGTCTTCCAGTTGCTTTTTGTTTTAAAAAACTTTTCAAGAATTTTATTTCTACAATGATATTTTAAAATGATATAATKATATTAGCATTTTAGRAAAATTCTTTTTATGTGTGTAGATGTTGAAATTATATAAAAAGTAAGAAATCCAGAATATGTTACTCCCCATCACTTATACTTCTATTTCTGTTGTACTTATCACCAATATTTCTTGCCTGGATAGTTGAAGTAGCTTCTTAAGGGGTCTTGCTGCTCTACTCATTATCTCTWTTTTTTAAAAAAAATTATTTTTAGTTTTCGGTGGACACAACATCTTTATTTTTATTTTTATGTGGTACTGAGGATCGAACCCAGTGCCCCGCGCATATCAAGCACATAACTGCTTGAGCCACATCCCCAGCCCTGTTCATTATCTCTTGAGTCTGTTCTTCATGCAGCAGATGAAATGAATTGTTTTAAAATAAATTGGAACATGTTACCCTTATGCTAGAGTTTCTTACTTTATGAAAAACAAAATTCTAAGCTCTTACCTAACTTATAAATCCCTACAAAACCTTTCTTCTACTCTTTATTGTAATGTCTTACCACTGTAACTCTTGTTCACTAATTCTTGAACATATATTTTTTTTCCTTAGTGCCTTTGAACTTGCTTTCTTCTCCCTGTAATGTTATTTTCCCAGAAGACTCATAGTTTATTAGAGAGGTTTTTCACCATCCTTCTCTATTTTTCTTCCTAGAGTTATTACTGCTTGACATATTAACCATTGACTTTTTATGTTGCTGTAATTCCACTAGAATAACAAACAGCTTATTAGACCAAGAACTTTGTTTTGTTAACTGTGTACCAAGTAATATTCTGCGTTCAGTAAATACATTGCTAAAGGAGTAGATTGCTGTGTACTGTCATGAGCAATTTCTGAAATTGAGTACCAAGGAATTACAGATCTTGATTAATTGATCTCTTAAATGAAGTGAAATTGCATGTCTATAAATGTATGATTTCTTGGCTTAAACTAAGACATATGTTAGAAATGGAAAATGAGAAATGCATTTTTATAATGAATTAATAACATTATTCATTAACCTCAGATCTTTTATTCCCATTTTATGTAAGAGGAAGTTGAGGCTTAAAGAGTTGGTATAAAGTCTGAATTTCAACTCAGGCATTTAGATTATGGTMTTTTTAAAAAATATTTATTTATTTATTTTTTCTTAGTTCTCGGCGGACACAACATCTTTGTTGGTATGTGGTGCTGAGGATCGAACCCGGCTGCATGCATGCCAGGCGAGCGCGCTACCGCTTGAGCCACATCCCCAGCCCTAGATTATGGTCTTTATAGAGTTTTTTCTCTAAACAATCTTTATTAGTCTTTTCAGCTAATACAGAATAGGTAGAAAAATATTTCTAAAGTATATGTAAAATAGAAACAATTATGATGTAATAAATCTTGTTTTTTTTTTTTAAGAGAGAGTGAGAGAGGAGAGAGAGAGAGAGAGAGAATTTTTAATATTTATTTTTTAGTTCTCGGCGGACACAACATCTTTGTTGGTATGTGGTGCTGAGGATCGAACCCGGGCCCGCACGCATGCCAGGCGAGTGCGCTACTGCTTGAGCCACATCTCCAGCCCTAATAAATCTTGTGTGTCCATTATTTAATTAAGAAAAAAAATTGCCACTTAAATTTTTTTTTATATGAAGTGAACATTCAGAAAGCCACAAAGATACATTGACATAGTAAAWTATTATAGTGTATACCCTTAACCCCTACCCCAGTCAAGAGATTCTGCTTTGTCACTAATCATAGAAGTTCTTTCTGTGTGTTTTATTCTAATCACAACCTCTTTCCCACCTTAAATAACCATTATAATAACACATGGGAATCACGTTTCATATTTTTATAATTTTATCACCACTGTTCATTCCTTGATATATTATAGTTTAGTTATTTACAGGTTCAGATTGTCTGATTTGATCTCTTTTGTGATATTAACAGTGTTTTACACTTAATGCCTGTAACAGTAAATTGGGAATTGTAAAATGGCAATGATCTAATTTTATCTTTTCTTTTTCTTTTATTTATTTAAAATTTTTTTGTAGTTGTATACAATACCTTTATTTTACTTTTTTTATTTAAATGTTGTGCTGAAGATCGAACCTACACTGCACACATACTAGGCRAGTGCTCTACCCTTGAGCCAGAACCACAGCCCCCTTCTTTTTATTTTTTAAAATATTTTTTAAGTTGTAGATGAACACAATACCTTTRTTTTATTTTTTATGTGGTGCTGAAGATTGAACTCAGTGCTTTTCACAAGTGAGGCGAGCACTCTGCCACCGAACTACATCCCCAGCCCTCTTTTCTTTTTATTCATCAGTTAGAATATTATTCTAAACAGATACTTCTGACTTATCATCTACTATTTGGTAAAGCAGTTGTATAGTTCATATAAAAAAGGCAGGATAAATAACGTGTTTCTTTTCCTTTACTAGTTTTCAGTATAATCAACCTATCCTYTGTCATCCTCCAAAGATGACCAGTTTAAAAAAACAATAATTATGAACTCATGATTCAAGCATATTTCATGAGTTTTAATTTTAATTTTTGTTTTAATTCTTTGGCCAGTGGGAGCCTCTTTAAATTGGCTCCTGAGACTTCGGATTAGCTTCCTTGCCTTTTGGTGTTATAAAATTCATCTTGTACTTTTCTTTTGGAATTTAAGAACCTCCAGTATCTTTTTAATGAGAAATGGCATTTCAAAACCATAATCTGAGCATTAGTGATCGTCATTGTTACTGAGTTCATCATTGTTTCTAGGCCACTGCAGTGAACAGAGCTAAGAAAAATAAAGACAAAATAACTTATGAGTTCATATTGATATTTCTGATCCAAATTGAAGACTATACAATTTTTATTTATCTCATCTCTATTACATACATATCTTCTTTCTTTGATACTAAGGATTTTGGTTTTTAAAAGAATAGGACATGATAGAATTAAACTATTTTGACATTGCTTATTTATTCTGTTGTTTATTTGTTTTTGTGTGGTGCTGAGGATCGAATCCAGGGCCTCACCCATCCTAGGCAAACACTCGACCACTGAGCCAGAACCCCAGCCCTCATTTTATTCTGTATTATGCACATGATAGTTTTAGAATATAGTAAGACTGTCACCAGTTTGGTTACTGGAAACTTTTTTTATTAGAGCTTTATATTTATATATATAATATTTGGGTTCCTTTTGACATACAAAGAATTTGATTTCAATTCCCATTCCCTCCTCCTCTTAATTTCCTCCTTTCTCCCTCTTTTTTCTCTCTTCTCTTCTCACTCTTTTATGTATTTAACTGGTACTTTCTTTTTTTATTTTATTTTATTTTTTTTATTGTTGGTTGTTCAAAACATTACATAGTTCTTGATATATCATATTTCACATTTTGATTCAAGTGGGTTATGAACTCCCATTTTACCCCGTATACAGCTTGCAGAATCACATCAGTTCCATTGATTTACATATTGATATACTCATGTCTGTTGTATTCTGCTGCCTTTCCTTTTCCTATCCTCTACTATCCCCCCTCCCCTCCCCTCCCCTCCCCTCCCTTCTTCTCTCTCTACCCCCACTACTGTAATTCATTCCTCCCCCTTGTATTATTTTTCCCTTTCCCCTCACTTCCTCTTGTATGTAATTTTGTATAACCCTGAGGGTCTCCTTCCATTTCCATGCAATTTCCCTTCTCTCTCCCTTTCCCTCCCACTTCTCATCCTTGTTTAATGTTGGTCTTCTTCTCGTGCTCTTCTTCCCTAGTCTGTTCTTAGTTACTCTCCTTATATCAAA